ACGTACCGCTAAACAAGTTACACAAAAGCTGAGATAGACAATACAAAACCACTCCTACAGACTTCCTAAATTACGTCTTTGTTGTGTATCCGATAGAAAGAGACATTGCCTTTAATAATCACAACTTATTACGTTAGCTTGAGAAAGCCAAGCATTGTAATATTGCATCTAAAGAAAAATTGAAAAAAAATATTCAACCACATTATAGTTTTATCATTTTTGAATCCGTTCAGCTAATCTCTGGGTCTGTCGGGAGCATGTTTTGCTTAGCTTCACATAAGTGATTGAATTGGATTAAAATCTGATTTTAAAATTATTGTTCTTCACCACAGGCTCATTGGGAATACGTGCCTAGAGCTACATTTTCGAGAAACTGCAAATACATGCCTCAGCACATGTTTGTCTGAAATCTCTGTGTAAAACGAATCCTAAACAGTTGTATACACTCAGAAATAAAAGTACAAAATCTGTCACTGGGGCGGAACCTTTTAAACAGGTACACCTTTTGTTCTGTTCGGAATAACTTTCTAACAAAAGGTTACATGTGCTGGTGAAGATTAAAGATGCAGATGAGAGGTTTGCACTGTCTGTAGGCTATATGTTGTGTGTTGTTTTTGAAGCCAAATAAGGACTAAATGTATGCTGTGCGTAGTTTTTCTGTAATTTTTAACATAACTGTAAGGGTCTGTATGTGTTCATATATCTTGCATTTATTTATTTGATATAATTGCAGATGATACAATAGGCTATTTTGCACTTTTATTGATCTGCAGTTATAATCAAATCATGTTCATAGAGGCTTAGTCATGAACCTTTATACACAAGTATTTGTGTGTACACTCTCAGAAATAAAGGTACGCGAGCTGTCACTGGGGTGGTACCTTTTCGAAAGATACAAATTTTTACCTAAAAGGTCCATATTAATACCTCAAGGGTACACATTAGTGCCTAAAAAGTACAAAAGTGTACCTCTTAAAATTTGTAGGTACAAATATATACTTTTGAGGTGCCAAATGTGTATCGTTTGAAAAGGTACCACCCCAGTGACAGCTCATGTACCTTTATTTCTGTGAGTTTATAAAGCATCTGTTTTGTAAGAAATGCTTCTCATATGATATGTGAACGACCCGTACAGATTTACTTTGACATTTTCTTGAGCCAGAATGACGTCAACTGAAACTTTCTGTTGTGCACCATGCCCTCCATTGGTACCCTTTTGGCAGTGGAAACGCAAGCCTGATAAAGGTGACCCATACTGCACTGTACCACTCAGTGGAAACAGGCCATTAATGTAGCATGAGATACTACAATGTACTATACACAGTTGTACTTTTTAGGTATAATAATATGTACCTTCAAGGACCTGCTAGGAACAAAAAAATTAGCTTTTAAAAAGGTACCGCCCCAGTGACAAAATTTGTACCTTTATTCGTGAGAGTAAGAGAGTTAAACAATTGATTTCATTTGGTTGTTCACGCAGCACCAAATAATTGCTACAAAACAATTTAAATGTGTCTGTGATCCATGACCAAATGTGTTCACATTGCCCTCTTATCTCCGTATGGATAGTTTTTCTGGAGCGGTCAGTTTGCTTGGAAGCTCACCCTGTACGGTGTTGTTGGGATTGTTTGGGACACGAAGTGGACCTGGTTCGAGTATGGCGAAGGAAATTTCCAGAAACCAGAAAAAAAAGCTATGTGAAATTGTCGTAAACATTCTTGGCCACAATGTTTTTTTTTCTTTACATTTGCTTCTGAAAGCACTATCAGTTTGGTTTATGGAAAGGGTGACTCTAGTGGATTTGTCAACAAAAGCTGCATGTGAATGTTGCTAGAACAACACATTTTATAGTTCACAAAATAAAAATAAAAAATCATATAATAAAATAAAAAATGTAGCCCTGAGCAGGTACTTTTAATGAGTCTGGGTTGTTATTTTTCAGATGGGTAAAAATTACTAAATTCAGGCACCAAATTCAGGTAAGATGTTACCTGACATTTCTAAATGGTTGAGCTTATGTTTTTTGCAAAAACAGACAATCAAAAAATCTAATAGGCCTACAGAGACAAAATGTTCAAATGAGTCAAAGAGTTTTAAACTCAAACTGTCCTAAGTTTAAATACAAACACAAACAAGACAAACACCTTTAAACCAGGAAATCTTCAAAGTAGGCAGATTTTAAAACTGCTTTATTTTTGAGCCTTCATTCTTTCATACTTCAGAAATTCTGATCAGGCTTTCCTGAACCATAATTAAAGCCATAATTATATGTTGCTCTTCAGGGAAAGAAGATATTGATGATTCATTGTGTCTAAATGGGAGTATGTTTATTTTCTCCTTCTTTTTAAGTATGATGGTCTTACCATTCCCCATAAATGATCAATATAATCTGTCTCTGATTATTAATAGCATGTGGTAAATCATGATTCACAGCTATGACATAAAGTTTGATTCATGGAATTTTGTTTTCATTTACAACGTGTACGCAAATGCGGCATTCTAATTCTACTGTTTATATTATACTTTTTGAGAATGTGATGTAATAGGCTGTGATGCAATAACAACATACTTAAATTACCAAAATAATTATATTCAATCTGATACAGTTGCAGACAAAAAAGTGTTCAACTGAATTGAAAATTGTACTGATGTGAATTAGGAAGCCATTTGAATGTTTTTTGTAATAAGCTTGGAGAAGTTATTAATATGAATTATGTTAATATGTTGGTTTGTCTGCTTTTGATGTGTGCGGTCTCCTTCCACTTAAATGCTGTCTAGTAAAATGTTGATATTCTGAAGCTTCTCATTCTTTATTTATTTTTAAGATTTACAATTTGTACTTTGTTTACTTTTTGTAAACTGTTAAACCACTTCTTGCTATGGTTCTCAATCTGTATTTAACCTCAGATTGATTTTAAAGGAAACCTGGGTCTGCTTTTATTGTCGCTGTGCTTTAAAATGAACTATTTCAAGAGATGAAGAATTTTGAAAGTCAGACAGTAATCAGTGTTGAGCACTACTTTTAGGTTAAGTCTGACTGGTTTGAACATGATTAACATTTAAAAGCATGTATTAAAAATTCTGATTATAAAACCGGAATATTAATCAAACGCAATCAGTCGCATGACTGTAATAGAGTAACTGAAATAGTTTAACTTCTTTGTCTTAATTGCATCTTTACTGGAGGAAGTAGTACATTAGTCTCCATTCCATAGGGTTTTTCCGAAATCTAGTCATGTGTTTACAAAAATTTGAAAAATATTATTATTCAAAAATAGTAAAAGGATAAAATATATCAACAAGTGAACTCACCTCCTCCTCCCCAGCTCCACTTGTGTTTAGATCTGCTAGGTAGGTTACTTACACTGTATATTGTTTGCAGCAGCAGCGAGTTATATTCTCAGACAGCATACCATAGACTTTAAAAGATACTGACGTAGTATCCGTGACGTCATTCATAGGTTTCTGAAGATCACAAAATAAGCTACAAGTAGACGTGGCCAATCGTTGCCATTTTGATCGCGCGTCATTGCATCAACCGAGGCATACCAAACTAGTGCAAAGAAGCAAAGCATGCGCGGAGCTACAGACGCCTGCTAGCATTTTGCTTAGACAGGCTTTTCTTTGGGAGAAAAAATTTGCTTAATACTTCATTACCTGCAACTCCTTTGTGTTCTGACCACATGTGCTTGGTCAATCCGGTTGATCAATAAAGTGTTAGACTTAAAAACACTCTTGTAATACATCCAGTTACTAAGCATTGCTCTTATGACATTTTTCTACTGGAGGAAAATAGGAATTACTTACAAAAATTTAAATATAGTTTGTGTTAGTAAATGCAAGGTTTTTTTTATGAAATCCAGGCATAACACTGTATGACAACATTTTAGATGACTGTTCTAGAGCTTACATCTAATCAGTCTTTCATATTCTAGAGTGCATTCAAGTTCTAAAGAAAAATATAAATGATCTTAAATAAAACAAATACATTTATAAAGGTGATGTTAAATTTCACTCATCTGGGAAACAGAGTCCACGTGAATGGTTTGTGAGCACAATTAAGTGCACATAGCATGCCATATAATCTGATAATTGTAGAAAATAAGTCCAAAAAGCAACTGACTGTGTAAAGCCACATAAAACAAAAATACAATATATATGCCAAGTTCAGCAGCTAATCAGCTGGAATCAGCTGAGGTGAAGTGATGACCACCATTGAGTCCAAGCTGTCACTCAAGTGGCCACGCCCTTAATTATGCAGATTTTATATAACTTAATAAAAACAAAACGCATGAGTTATAAAAAAAAATCCACCCCCTCACAGTTGTCATAAAGGGTAATATTAGCTATATGAACCAAAATCGTTCTTTGTACCAGGTTGTAAACACCTTTTTTCTAATGTAAAGTTGGCCATTTTAAAATTGGGCTCATTAAATATTTGCTCTATTATGGAGCCAGGACTAGCGGAGTTTCTATGAATTGCAGTTTTAGTCACTTTCATATTTGCGTATTTGCTCTAGATATATACTGGCAGTAGCAGGTCTCAGTACTTGCTCTGCCATAATAATCAAAGAAGCAGCAGCAGCAGCGAAGCAGATCGTTACCTGCAAGACCAAATACATCAACATTGCCTTATTCATTGCATACTAAATCCTAAGAGTGTTCATGACAAAAAACAAAAAAAAAACAATATTTACTTAAACACATTTATGTAAACTTTTCACCTTAACTTTGAGCATCTGTTGTAGGCTAAATTAGCCATTCAAATGTGCATTTCGAAATGCTAGCGGAAATAACAAACCATCCAAGTACCTTTTGGTATGCTAATGTCAACATGCTACGATTTGGCTAATTTTACTTTCGCACACAATTTAGAAAGGATCCAGCACAAGTTTAAGTTACTTTGAAAAGGAAATATTCTCAGAAAGAAACTTCTGCAGCCTAAACTGTTCAAATGCTAATAGCAACACAGAGACTGACATTTGTTTCTTCATTTGCAGGTACTCTGAGAGTGTTTGCCTGGAGTTTCGGTGAGTACTGATTCATAGATCTTTTTTTTTCTCTTCTGTTTCATAAGTGCCACAATACGCCGCTAACGTCTCATCAAATGTGCTAAGTGTTCCAATCGCTTCAAAACTCAACAGGAGCCCACACAGTTTCTCCCTGTAGTGCTGGCCTGTTTTCAGAGCCAAACCATCCTCATTCAAGTCCGCTCCCGCTTCCCCTCTCTCTCCTCGAACAGCAAAAAAAAAAATCCCTTTTTGTCTTTCACTCAAAGTGGATTCTAATCCGTTTATTAGCCTGAAAGCTACTGGGATGTGAAGACAAACCACATGATTCCTCTGCCCCTGCTCCAGTCTCCGTCCCCCCACCCCTCGGGAGGAGAGTCTCCCTTCATACTAACAGCTAGCATGATTTATATTTCTGTCGGCTCTTGCTATCTCCCCTAACACCCCGTAATGTGTCCCTCTTGCTGTGCCGCCCTGGCCAGGCTAAACAGCTAAACGACTGACAGTGAAACAGCACTGCTGGGTCAAATGAGCCAAAACCCGTCATGTCCTCTACTCTTCTAATTAACAGACATTGCTCTCAATTACCAACAGACACATAAACACACCGCTTCAACTCAAACTAGCATTCTTTCACATTATCTGCAACAGGGGCTTAGCAACAGTGACTTTAAGGATGGCATAAAATCGTTTTCTTTAACGTGTCGATTTCCTATTCAAACAGGAAGTCTGGGGACATTGCAGAGCACAAACACAAACATGATTAAGTACATGCTACTTAGTGATTTAAGAAATCATCATGGGTTTTTTTCTACAAATTTTTGTCTAGAGGAGTTGATGCTAGTTGCATAGTGTCAGAACACACACATAGTCTGCACAACAGACTATGGGCTCTATTTTGACGGTCCATGCGCAGAACGCAAAACGCAGGGCGCACACGCTTTCAGGGCGTGTCAGAACGCATTTTCGCTAATTTAAGGACGGAAAAACCTGCTTTGCGCCATAGCGCATGATCTAAAAGGGTTGAGTTTATTTTCTTAATGAGTTATAGGTGTGTTTTGAGAATAAACCAATTAGAGTCTCATCTCCTATTCCCTTTAAGAGTCAGCTGCGTTGCGCCAAGGGCGCATTTGCTATTTACAGGACACAAAGTAAGTCTAAGTGGAAAAAATTAGCATTTCACTAGCAAACAGTTAACAGTTGACAGTTTTTTTAACAGAAAACTGTTAAACAGAGCATCTACTGCGTGAGAATGAGAGATAATGGAACTACTTTCACATTCGCTCTTGGATAGGGAAACCTTTACGCACAGACATTAATTAGTCTATAAATAAATAATTTTGTTTGTTAAGCGCAAATATTTGTTTCAAAACTATTTCTAAATTCAGTTCTAATTTCCAGCAAACAAATGAATGAATAATAATAACAAAATGTGCTCAAAAACCTGAGTTATATTCTAAAACACATGCTGTGCCCCATATGGTCTAAAACCTGACAGGTGGGCAAATCTAAGCTTGTTTTTAATAAAACAAATATAAATATGGATATAATAAATAATACTGTTAATAATAATAACATTATACAATAGCAAATTGTTATGAATGAACTGAAAAAGCCTCCTGAGATGAAGAAGACATAAAAGCAGTGATTTTTCATATTTATGTAGGCTAGAAAATAATATGTTTTGTAATATTTTAATTCTTTATATTTATATTCTATATCTATTCTTATTATATGCTATTTATATCCTTAATATTAAAATGTTTTCATATGTAAAGATATTTGCCTATTGCTCTCTTGTGCGTATTAAGCAGTGCGTAAGCGAGGCGCAACTCTGCGCCGGAGTTTAGACCGGGTTAGTTTTGGTCTAATAAAAAATCTATTATAGTTTCTCAAAATATCAACGCGCCAGCTACGTGCCTCAGAACGCCTTCCTTTTTAGACCAGAACGCCTATGGGCGCACAAAAGAGCGCTAATGCATTTGCTATTTAAACAGCATAGCGCAACGCCTCAAAACGACTCTTGCGCCAAGCTGAAACTACCAAAAGACTATTGCGCCACGCCTTGCGCCACACTGCACCGGGTGTATGATAGGGCCCTATGTTTTTAAGCTTCAAGTCAAGCCCCCTTTATTTCTATGGAGCTTTATACGATATAGATTATCAAGCATATTCACGTCAACATTAACAAGGTCTTTAAGAAAATGGTAGAATCAGTAATGCCAACTATGGAAATAAATCAGATTCTGTTTTAAAAGCATCCTATTAAGTTAGATGTCTAAACATAGACGTTTTGGATAAATTTGGCCTTTCAGTAAAAATCCAAGTCCGAAATGAGACTAGTCATCAGATTGCTTATCTGACAAATTCACATGTGTAGACATTTATTTGTGTGTATTTAATGATTAGTTTATTTTTGAACTATTGTCTATTAGAATTGTACTGACAGCGCAAATTTTGCATTGATTTAGTCAAGGTGATAATGTTTAGACGTCTGTTAGACTTCTTTTAAGCATAAAAAAGCTTGCTGGGATGATTCAGGAATTTAGTGTTTGTTCAGTTCTAGTTCAATTCAGCTATAAGCAGTTGGATTGCTATTCAGTTTTAGTTGGTTTATGTTGAATCAATTCAGTTCAATACTAGTGCCAATGTTGCAGGAATATGAATATGATTGTGCCATCATCCAGGTTGATTCAATTTTTTTCCATCAAAGAATGTCAGTCGGTATCAATAACTACTATGGAAACACCTTTGCCGAATAAATTCCAGCATTGGGCATCAAAACAATGTGATTTTGTTTTAACAGATCTTGTGATGGCCAAATGAATGGCAACATGAATGGCCAAACCCGTGGACAGACAACATTTACAACACATGAAATGTTGTTTTGCTTGTTCTGAAATACATTTTCGTTAGCTTTAACCTTAGCCCTTACCTTCCAAAGAGCATCTCACGCCTCCAAAATCCATTGCGTGTTTATTGCATTTCATCTTCAACTTATGAGGTGCAAGTAATTTATTATTTAAAAAAAGTCCCACATTGGTTTCTACCAAAGCTAATTCTATTTTTCTTTTTGATTTTAGCACCAGTTTATCAGGAAGTTACGATTTTGGTCTCTTTGATTGAAAATGGTGCTCTAGTCACCAATATTTTATGTAATATTCCAGTTTTGCACATTAATCTAATTTCCATCTTTGAATGGAAACACAGCAAGTTTGACAATATTTATATTTAAGATAAACTGAGTAAGCCAGAGGAGAACTAAGCAGTTTAAAAGAGGACAGAGGCAAAGAACTTAAGAAATGGAGGAGGAAAGAATAAATAAATAAAGCATTGGTGGACCTGGGGCCTGTTTCAGTAAGGAGGTTCAAACAACTCGGAGTTTAAACTTGAACTCTGAGTTGTTTTACCGAGAGATTAAAAACTCTGAGTTTTCGGTTTCAGAACAGCTGATCTGAGTTGGTTCAATCAACTTTGAGTAGACCAACTCAGAGTTAAGCGCGCACACCGTGACTATAAAAAGGCATTATCAATGGAGCGCAGATATTATGAGTGACCATGGCAACATCTTAAAAAAAGAGATCACCATTTCTTTCCCCAGCTGAACTTGATCTGCTCATGCAAAGTTTTATCAAATATGAGTGTATATACTTAAAAAGAAGCAACCATCAGTGAAACAGAGACAGTTAGCCTAGGAAAACAGCTGCTCAAGTTAATGCGTAATTTTTTATTTAAATTATTTGAACATTTAAGTATAATAAAATAAGTAATATAATGTGTGACGTTTATACTTTTTTTTCTAAACTTTTATACACGTTTATCAGTTTTAATAGATTTAACAGTGCACTTGTGTGTCTTTTTATTGATCAAGTGATAGAGGTTGATATAACATTAAGAACCTGTGCTAAAAATAATTTTTAGACAGAATAATAATCCCATTAATCTAGTAACAGTACATGTCGAAGGTTAAGCTAAATATTTATGGAAAAAAGGACAAGCCTTGTACGTGACTTTGTTCTGTGTGTGACAAAAGTGTAGGCAATAGCTATGTTTCCATCAAAATACAGGCTTACATAAAATTGTGCAAAACTGGAATAATGCCTAAAAGATGCGAATAAAGCAGCGTTTTTACCCAACGAGTCAAAGAGAACACAATCGTCACTTCCTGATTAACTTGTGCCAAATATCAACAGTAAAAACAGAATTTACTGCGGTAGAAAGCTGCGTTAATGATTTTTTATTTAATACTTGCGCCTCAGAAGACACAATGAACACGTGGGGGCGTTTGAAGCCAGATGCGGAGATCTTGACACGCTCCAGACGCTCGAAGGTAATTAATTATATACACTAATACTGAAACAGTTAAGGCATTTTAGAATGACTAAAACAACATTTAAGATGTTCTACTGTGTGCTCAGTCAGCTGGTTTGTCCATTTACACACATTTTCATCGTCATCTCTAACAAACTTTTTTTTAATGTACATACTGTAATTTGTTAAGTGCACTTCGTAGTTTATGCGCATCTTTTCTTATCAAATAAAAGTTTAACCTACTCAGTTATGCAAATGTTTTATTATGCATATTTTCAAAAGTTATGTGAATCATGACGTTTCCATCAATCGTTTTTATGGGCATCTCCAAAATGAGCTCCAAAATAGGTGTGTGGAAATGTAAGACTAATGCGAGAAATACGCTTCATCTTTAAAAAAGGGGAGGAGACCGACAGAAACTCAGAGTTTAGAGAATAAAACCTGCTCCGGACCAGGTTAGATTCACAGAGTAAGTTACCACAGTAACTGACTCTGAGTTAAAGTTACTTTTCTTTCAGAAACAGGCTTGACTTACCCTGATTTCTTGAGTTGAACAAACCTGCCATTTTGAAACAGAAAACCCAGAGTTTCTCTCATTTCAGGGTTAAAATACTCTGAGTTTTCACTTAACCTCCTTTCTGAAACAGGCCCCAGTTCTTTTCTGGCCTTAGCAAACAAAGAAGGTAAAGCTACTGTTTAGGTAGACGACCAGCTCTCATTGGTCCTCAGCATGAAGGGTGACCTTCTAGATTGAACCGTTGATCCCAGTCTTGACATGATGTGTTCAAGCTGGCCGGAGGACTCTACTGAGGGCTCATCTAGGTCATCATTGAGGATCTGTCCTAAGGGTTCATCTCAATGAGATCTTTTCTGCCCGTGAATGCAGCTCTACTATCTGGACTGACAATTGGATTTAGACTATGACCACTTTGAAAGCTGAAAAATGCTGCCTCTGCATAAAGCGTATGATGCTAGGAAGACAACAGAATTCAATGGTCAAGTTAGCTGTTGTCTTATGAAAGACCTTTATATGATAAACATTTCGAAGGTGGCATATGTGTATTCTTTGCTGTTTATGATATCCCACAATAGTGTGTGCTTGATTGTGTGGAAGTGGAGCTTAGAGTCTGTGTGAAC